CGCGAGCAATTCCCCTTCCCCAGCGCGCGCACATCCCCTTCCCCCCGAGGCGTGCACATCCCCCTCCCCACGCGCGCACATCCCCTTCCCCACGCGCGCACATCCCCTTCCCCACGCGCGCACATTCCCTTCCCCACGTGCGCACATTCCCTTCCCCACGAAGGCACACTTCCTTCCCCACGCGCGCACATTCCCTTCCCCACGCGCGCACATTCCCTGTTGTCAGCCCGCCCACCTTCCCTTCCCCAGCATCCAGCAACTCCCCTTCACGCATTGCGCTTCCCGCTGCTCTCTCACTTTCCCCCTTGATTCGCCCCATGTCCCCGCTGCTCTCTCTCTTTCCCCCTTGATTCGCCCCATGTCCCCGCTGCTCTCTCTCTTTCCCCCTTGATTCACCCCATGTCCCCGCTGCTCTCTCTCTTTCCCCCTTGATTCACCCCATGTCCCCGCTGCTCTCTCTCTTTCCCCCTTGATTCACCCCATGTCCCCGCTGCTCTCTCTCTTTCCCCCTTGATTCACCCCATGTCCCGCTGCTCTCTCTCTTTCCCCCTTGATTCACCCCAATTCCCGCTGCTCTCTCTCTATCTCCCTTGGTTCACCCCACTCCCCCCGTGCTCTCTCTCTTTCCCCCTTGATTCACCCCATGTCCCCGCTGCTCTCTCTCTTTCCCCCTTGATTCACCCCATGTCCCCGCTGCTCTCTCTCTTTCCCCCTTGATTCACCCCATGTCCCCGCTGCTCTCTCTCTTTCCCCCTTGATTCACCCCATGTCCCGCTGCTCTCTCTCTTTCCCCCTTGATTCACCCCAATTCCCGCTGCTCTCTCTCTATCTCCCTTGGTTCACCCCACTCCCCCCGTGCTCTCTCTCTTTCCCCCTTGATTCACCCCATGTCCCGCTGCTCTCTCTCTTTCCCCCTTGATTCACCCCATGTCCCGCTGCTCTCTCTCTTTCCCCCTTGATTCACCCCATTTCAGGGCTGCTCTCTCTCTGTCCCCCTTGATTCACCCCATTTCCCGGCTGCTCTCTCTCTGTCCCCCTTGATTCACCCCATTTCAGGGCTGCTCTCTCTCTGTCCCCCTTGATTCACCCCATTTCAGGGCTGCACTCTCTCTGTCCTCCTTGATTCAACCCATTTCAGGGCTGCTCTCTCTCTGCCCCCCTTGATTCACCCCATTTCAGGGCTGCTCTCTCTCTGTCCCCCTTGATTCACCCCATTTCAGGGCTGCACTCTCTCTGTCCCCCTTGATTCAACCCATTTCAGGGCTGCTCTCTCTCTGTCCCCCTTGATTCACCCCATTTCAGGGCTGCTCTCTCTCTGTCCCCCTTGATTCACCCCATTTCCCGGCTGCTCTCTCTCTGTCCCCTTGATTCAACCCATTTCAGGGCTGCTCTCTCTCTGTCCCCCTTGATTCACCCCATTTCAGGGCTGCACTCCCTCTGTCCCCCTTGATTCAACCCATTTCAGGGCTGCTCTCTCTCTGTCCCCCTTGATTCACCCCATTTCAGGGCTGCTCTCTCTCTGTCCCCCTTGATTCACCCCATTTCAGGGCTGCACTCTCTCTGTCCCCCTTGATTCAACCCATTTCAGGGCTGCTCTCTCTCTGTCCCCCTTGATTCACCCCATTTCAGGGCTGCTCTCTCTCTGTCCCCCTTGATTCACCCCATTTCATGGCTGCTCTCTCTCTGTCCCCCTTGATTCACCCCATTTCAGGGCTGCACTCTCTCTGTCCCCCTTGATTCAACCCATTTCAGGGCTGCTCTCTCTCTGTCCCCCTGGATTCACCCCATTTCAGGGCTGCTCTCTCTCTGTCCCCCTTGATTCACCCCATTTCAGGGCTGCACTCTCTCTGTCCCCCTTGATTCAACCCATTTCAGGGCTGCTCTCTCTCTGTCCCCCTTGATTCACCCCATTTCAGGGCTGCTCTCTCTCTGTCCCCCTTGATTCACCCCATTTCCCGGCTGCTCTCTCTCTGTCCCCCTTGATTCACCCCATTTCAGGGCTGCTCTCTCTCTGTCCCCCTTGATTCACCCCATTTCAGGGCTGCACTCTCTCTGTCCCCCTTGATTCAACCCATTTCAGGGCTGCTCTCTCTCTGTCCCCCTTGATTCACCCAGGGCTGCTCTCTCTCTGTCCCCCTTGATTCACCCCATTTCAGGGCTGCACTCTCTCTGTCCCCCTTGATTCAACCCATTTCAGGGCTGCTCTCTCTCTGTCCCCCTTGATTCACCCCATTTCAGGGCTGCTCTCTCTCTGTCCCCCTTGATTCACCCCATTTCAGGGCTGCTCTCTCTCTGTCCCCCTTGATTCACCCCATTTCCCGGCTGCTCTCTCTCTGTCCCCCTTGATTCACCCCATTTCAGGGCTGCTCTCTCTCTGTCCCCCTTGATTCACCCCATTTCAGGGCTGCTCTCTCTCTGTCCCCCTTGATTCACCCCATTTCCCGGCTGCTCTCTCTCTGTCCCCCTTGATTCACCCCATTTCAGGGCTGCTCTCTCTCTCTGTCCCCCTTGATTCACCCCATTTCAGGGCTGCTCTCTCTCTGTCCCCCTTGATTCACCCCATTTCAGGGCTGCACTCTCTCTGTCCCCCTTGATTCAACCCATTTCAGGGCTGCTCTCTCTCTGTCCCCCTTGATTCACCCCATTTCAGGGCTGCTCTCTCTCTGTCCCCCTTGATTCACCCCATTTCCTGGCTGCTCTCTCTCTGTCCCCCTTGATTCACCCCATTTCAGGGCTGCTCTCTCGCTGTCCCCCTTGATTCACCCCATTTCCCGCTGCTGACAGTCGTGGGGAAGGAGGGCTAAGCACGCAAGCGTGATGGCACAACTCGTTGGTCACATCGCGAAGAAGCATAGGACCCCCCAGCATCCAATATCAAGGCATATGCAAGAGCCGATCGCTCTCTTGCGAAGCGGAGCTACAATCATTTTCGGTGGGAAACGAGAAGCCTCGTGCGGGGACTTGTTCTACCTTTACACGTTGGCTGCGCCACACCTCACGAACAGACTTATGGCTGTGGCAGCAAAGAACGGTGAGTTCTGTGGCTAAGAGTGAGCGCATATCGATATTCCCCGTCTAAGAGTGCGACGCTAGACAAAGTGTTCTGTTGCACATGAGTCCAATGTGAGACGACGAGGCCGCCTTTCCTCACAATGAGCTGCATTGTGACGTAATTCTGTTTGCCCCACCTGCACGACTCCCAGGAACGGACGGCAAAACAGCTGCGTCGATTGCACGCATGCGTCTGGCGGCACACGGTCAGGCGCTCCAGTACCATGATAAGGATGCCGTCAGGAATGTGGCAGAGCTTGTATCTAAGACACCACAGCGGATAGAATCGGTGACGTATGGGTTTGCACCGTGCTTCATCAACACCGACGCAAAGATACAAGTGCCTGGGAAGTTCAACCACGGGGGAGTTCGCCGTGGGCCCAAGTACGAGGCACTGAAGAATTCGGGTGAGAACAGCTACTCTAAAGGTTGCCCAATGCGGTGTCGTCTACGATTGCATGTCACGGTGCAAATTTGCCATGTGGTCTTGGGTGTGTCGATGTCGGGGCGCAAATGATTTGCGGTTGGTTCAATTCACAACAATTGTGTAGCAATTTCCCACCCTTGTTCCCGGAGTGGGAAAGGGATGCGGGGCGGGAGAAATGGGAGGGGAGGCACAAGTAAGTACGGATGGGAGGCCGCATAAGAGACAAAGAGTCAGCATGGTTGCCTCCCTCAACTACGGTTGATGTTCCAGTGAACGGGGGTGGAGTGGGAGGGCAAGGAGGGGTAAGAGGGATCGTGTCTTGGGCCCGATGGACTGGACCTGGGTTGACGAAATCATAAAGGACTGGGACGAGGCGCGCCAGACGCATGAACCAGCTCCCCCTTCTCACTGCGGGTTATTGGACGAGCATGGCACTGACACTGTGCGACAGGACGGTACCACCCCTCCGTGCACACCTATTCTCCCCGCAGTTTTCAGTCCGGGCAGCAGTAGCTCAAACACCTGGGCAAAGCGGCGTCATCGGTCAGAGCGGGGCCCACGACCTTCACGCGCCGCACGTCGTCTTCCCTGTACGACTTTACTCTGGTCCCTTGCCATGGCTCTTGATTGTGGCATGTTACTTATTCATCTTCTCCACAGATCTCATTTGCCCTCCGTACCATATCTGAATTCCTACCTTCATATGAGCACTGATGACCACAATCTCAATCCCCCTGCTCATTCATTTCTTGACACCTCCTTTCTCAGTTGCGACACTCAACCTCCCACGTTGAACCGACCTATGGCTCCAGACGTGTCTCGGTGCGAAGGGCGCGCAAGATGCCTCGAAGGCAAGTGACAATGGGTGGGGAATTCTGGATGTGCATATCTTAAGGGTCACGTTGCACAAACCGTCATATGTTTCCCATCTACCATGGTTTAGACGCTGTCAACAACATACCAACCAAGCATACATACACGCTTTGTGTTGTCCGCAATATTGCAGATTCGAAGACTATGATGTCGAGGGGGAGGATCCCACCGCGTCTAACGACATGGTACGCATGCATTGCATTTGACAAAGTACAAAGTTTTGCATGGGAAGGTAGAGGGGCACGGATGCGAGGGGAAAGGGACGAACAACTGTTACGGATATGACAAAGTATTGGGGAGGGAATGATGGTATTTGTGGAGTGGAATCTTGGGAGTAGGGGAGTAGTTTCTAGAAGTGTACATGCTGGGGAAAGGAGCACGGGCAAGAGTGGGGGGCGAGCAGAGAGTGTGGGAGGGGGGGCGGACGACAGTTGTGTGCAACGCTGGCTTGGACGATGGGTCCGAGCAGGATATTTGGGGCAAGGGGTGTGGCTGGTTCTGGCAGACTTAGGGGCGAGCATGGCTGAGAAGGGAGCGGAGCTAGCGGGAAAGGGTGCGTGAGAGCTCATTAATCCGACCCAACAGCCCACGACGGCGCTTCAAGTGTAGCACTTCACTGCATGCAATGCATCAATCCAAGACACACTTATCACTCCAAGGGACTGCCGATGTGTGAGTATGCAACCCACCTGGGAGTAAGACGACGCCGCAGTGCGGTGCATCTTGAGGGTCGTGCAATGCTGCCATTGTGCGGCGCAGTGAGCGGGGTAGAACACACACCTGATGTTGGGAATGGGGGAGGTGAGTGAAAGGGGGCAAAAGGATGGGCTGTGGAATGAATGATACACATGGGGCAGGGGAATGGAACCGTGGGGTGAGGAGAATGAATGATACGGATGAGGGCAGGGGTATGGAACCGTGGGGGACAGGGAATGAATGATACACATGGGGGCAGGGGAAGGGGGTAAAGGAGTGCGAATTTGCAGGGAAAAGGATTGCGAAACGAGGGGGGAAAGGGAGCGCAGTAGGAGGGGGAAATGGGTGCGAAACGAGGGGGAAAGGGAGTGCCACCGGGGGGGAAAGGGTGTGAGAAACGTGCGGGAAAAGGGAGTGCGATACGAGGGGGAAAGGGAGTGCCACCGTGAGGAGTGCCGCAGGAGGGGGAACCGGAGGGCGAAACGAGGGGGAGAGACAGCGATATCGAGGTGGAAAGGAAGTGCCACCGTGGGGGAAAGGGTGTGAGAAACGAGGGGGCTTAGGGAGTGTGACATGAGGGGGAAAGGGAGTGCGAAGCAAGGGGGTCGGGACTGTGACATAAGGGGGAGTGGGAGTGCGAAACGAGGGGGAATGGGAGGGCGAACCGAGGGGTAAAGGATTGCGAAACGAGGGGGGAAAGGGAGCGCGGTACAGGGGGGAAATGGGGTGCGAAACGAGGGGGAAAGAGAACGATATCGAGGGGGAAAGGGGGTGACGCCGTGGGGGAAAGGGAGTGAGAAACGAGGGGGAAAGGGAGTGGGACAGGAGGGGGAAAGGGTGTGTGAAAGGAGGGGGCAAGGGCCGGTGACAGAAGGGGGAAAGGGAGTGCGAAACGAGAGGGAATCGGAGGGCGAACCGAGGGGTAAAGGGAGTGTGACAAGAGGGGGACATGGAGTGCGAAACGAGGGGGAAAAGGAGTGCGACACGAGGGAAATGGGAGTGTGACAAGAGGGGGAGAGGGAGTGCGAAACGAAGGGGAAAGAGAGGGCGAAACGAGGGGGAATGGTAGCAATATCAAGGGGGAAAGGGAGTGCCACCGTGGGGGAAATGGGGTGCGAAACGAGGGGGAAAGAGAGTTCAAAACGATGTGGAAAGGGAGTGCTATCAAAGGGGAAAGGGAGTGCCACCGTGGGGGAAAGGGAGAGAGAAACGAGGGGGAGAGAGAGTGTGACACGAGGGGGACAGGGAGTGCGAAACGAGGGGGAAAGGGAGGGCGAAACGAGGGGGAAAGGGAGTGTGACAAGAGGGGGACAGGGAGTGCGAAACGAGGGGGAAAAGGAGTGCGACACGAGGGAAATGGGAGTGTGACAAGAGGGGGAGAGGGAGTGCGAAACGAAGGGGAAAGAGAGGGCGAAACGAGGGGGAATGGTAGCAATATCAAGGGGGAAAGGGAGTGCCACCGTGGGGGAAATGGGGTGCGAAACGAGGGGGAAAGAGAGTTCAAAACGATGTGGAAAGGGAGTGCTATCAAAGGGGAAAGGGAGTGCCACCGTGGGGGAAAGGGAGAGAGAAACGAGGGGGAGAGAGAGTGTGACACGAGGGGGACAGGGAGTGCGAAACGAGGGGGAAAGGGAGGGCGAAACGAGGGGGAAAGGGAGTGCGACAAGAGGGGGACAGGGAGTGCGAAACGAGGGGGAAAAGGAGTGCGACACGAGGGAAATGGGTGTGGGACAAGAGGGGGAGAGGGAGTGCGAAACGAAGGGGAAAGAGAGGGCGAAACAAGGGGGAATGGTAGCAATATCAAGGGGGAAAGGGAGTGCCACCGTGGGGGAAATGGGGTGCGAAACGAGGGGGAAAGAGAGTTCAAAACGGTGTGGAAAGGGAGTGCTATCAAAGGGGAAAGGGAGTGCCACCGTGGGGGAAAGGGAGAGAGAAACGAGGGGGAGAGAGAGTGTGACACGAGGGGGACAGGGAGTGCGAAACGAGGGGGAAAGGGAGGGCGAAACGAGGGGGAAAGGGAGTGTGACAAGAGGGGGACAGGGAGTGCGAAACGAGGGGGAAAAGGAGTGCGACACGAGGGAAATGGGAGTGTGACAAGAGGGGGAGAGGGAGTGCGAAACGAAGGGGAAAGAGAGGGCGAAACGAGGGGGAATGGTAGCAATATCAAGGGGGAAAGGGAGTGCCACCGTGGGGGAAATGGGGTGCGAAACGAGGGGGAAAGAGAGTTCAAAACGATGTGGAAAGGGAGTGCTATCAAAGGGGAAAGGGAGTGCCACCGTGGGGGAAAGGGAGAGAGAAACGAGGGGGAGAGAGAGTGTGACACGAGGGGGACAGGGAGAGCGAAACGAGGGGGAAAGGGAGGGCGAAACGAGGGGGAAAGGGAGTGTGACAAGAGGGGGACAGGGAGTGCGAAACGAGGGGGAAAAGGAGTGCGACACGAGGGAAATGGGAGTGTGACAAGAGGGGGAGAGGGAGTGCGAAACGAAGGGGAAAGAGAGGGCGAAACAAGGGGGAATGGTAGCAATATCAAGGGGGAAAGGGAGTGCCACCGTGGGGGAAATGGGGTGCGAAACGAGGGGGAAAGAGAGTTCAAAACGGTGTGGAAAGGGAGTGCTATCAAAGGGGAAAGGGAGTGCCACCGTGGGGGAAAGGGAGAGAGAAACGAGGGGGAGAGAGAGTGTGACACGAGGGGGACAGGGAGTGCGAAACGAGGGGGAAAGGGAGGGCGAAACGAGGGGGAAAGGGAGTGTGACAAGAGGGGGACAGGGAGTGCGAAACGAGGGGGAAAAGGAGTGCGACACGAGGGAAATGGGAGTGTGACAAGAGGGGGAGAGGGAGTGCGAAACGAAGGGGAAAGAGAGGGCGAAACGAGGGGGAATGGTAGCAATATCAAGGGGGAAAGGGAGTGCCACCGTGGGGGAAATGGGGTGCGAAACGAGGGGGAAAGAGAGTTCAAAACGATGTGGAAAGGGAGTGCTATCAAAGGGGAAAGGGAGTGCCACCGTGGGGGAAAGGGAGAGAGAAACGAGGGGGAGAGAGAGTGTGACACGAGGGGGACAGGGAGAGCGAAACGAGGGGGAAAGGGAGGGCGAAACGAGGGGGAAAGGGAGTGTGACAAGAGGGGGACAGGGAGTGCGAAACGAGGGGGAAAAGGAGTGCGACACGAGGGAAATGGGAGTGTGACAAGAGGGGGAGAGGGAGTGCGAAACGAAGGGGAAAGAGAGGGCGAAACAAGGGGGAATGGTAGCAATATCAAGGGGGAAAGGGAGTGCCACCGTGGGGGAAATGGGGTGCGAAACGAGGGGGAAAGAGAGTTCAAAACGATGTGGAAAGGGAGTGCTATCAAAGGGGAAAGGGAGTGCCACCGTGGGGGAAAGGGAGAGAGAAACGAGGGGGAGAGAGAGTGTGACACGAGGGGGACAGGGAGAGCGAAACGAGGGGGAAAGGGAGGGCGAAACGAGGGGGAAAGGGAGTGTGACAAGAGGGGGACAGGGAGTGCGAAACGAGGGGGAAAAGGAGTGCGACACGAGGGAAATGGGAGTGTGACAAGAGGGGGAGAGGGAGTGCGAAACGAAGGGGAAAGAGAGGGCGAAACAAGGGGGAATGGTAGCAATATCAAGGGGGAAAGGGAGTGCCACCGTGGGGGAAATGGGGTGCGAAACGAGGGGGAAAGAGAGTTCAAAACGGTGTGGAAAGGGAGTGCTATCAAAGGGGAAAGGGAGTGCCACCGTGGGGGAAAGGGAGAGAGAAACGAGGGGGAGAGAGAGTGTGACACGAGGGGGACAGGGAGTGCGAAACGAGGGGGAAAGGGAGGGCGAAACGAGGGGGAAAGGGAGTGTGACAAGAGGGGGACAGGGAGTGCGAAACGAGGGGGAAAAGGAGTGCGACACGAGGGAAATGGGAGTGTGACAAGAGGGGGAGAGGGAGTGCGAAACGAAGGGGAAAGAGAGGGCGAAACGAGGGGGAATGGTAGCAATATCAAGGGGGAAAGGGAGTGCCACCGTGGGGGAAATGGGGTGCGAAACGAGGGGGAAAGAGAGTTCAAAACGATGGGGAAAGGGAGTGCTATCAAAAGGGAAAGGGAGTGCCACCGTGGGGGAAAGGGAGAGAGAAACGAGGGGGAGAGAGAGTGTGACACGAGGGGGACAGGGAGTGCGAAACGAGGGGGAAAGGGAGGGCGAAACGGGGGGGAAAGGGAGTGTGACAAGAGGGGGACAGGGAGGGCGAAACGAGGGGGAAAGGGAGTGCCACCGTGGGGGAAAGGAGTGACAAACGAGGGGGAAAGGGAGAGCGACACGATGGGGAAAGGAGTGCGGAACGAGGGGGAATGGGAGGGCGAATTGAGGGGTAAAGGGAGTGCGAAACGAGGGGGAAAGGGAGCGCGGTACGAAAGGGAAATGGGGTGCAAAACGAGGGGGAAAGAGAGTGCGAAACGAGGGGGGAAGGGAGTGCGTCACGAGGGGGAAGTGGAGGGCTAAACGAGGCGGAAAAGGAGCGCGACACCCGAAACAATAGGAGTGGTCCACGTAGGGGGTGACGGGAGCGCGTTCCGAGGGGGAATGGGAGCGTGAAACGAGGGGAAAAGGGAGTGCGTACCGAGGATGAAAGGGATGGCGAAACGGGGGGTAGATGGAGTGCGACGCAGCGGGGAATGGGAGCTGGGCGCTTTCCCTATTACTCACTATCGACTTCTGCGGACACATGCGAGACTTGTGCATCGGCGGAATCGGCGGTCGCTGAACGCGTTTCACTCTCGTATTCGCCCGTCATCCGTAAGCAACGACTACTAAGTTGCTGGATGGGACCTGCAAATATTTGCTGCGAATGATGTGAGTTTACTAGCTGAGTTACTGGATTCAGCTAACTTTCACGTAGTTGTTGCTGCCGCTGCACATATTCTGCCATTGGCAACGTTCTGGTCGCAGAGTGTGTCTGGCGATGTTTTGACATTGGAGTTCGTGTCGCACAGCAATTGTGGTAACAATGACGAAATCCCCAGACGGGCGAATATCCCTAGACAAATTCGTGAACCCAACCTAATTGAAAAAGGTAATGCCTAATCCTAATCCCTAATCCTCATCCAGAAGTGGCCTAGTCAGTAGAAAGAGGCGCTTATTATAGATGAGGTCCTGGGATCGAACCCACCCCCGTGCAGGCGTGTTCTGCCAGCCCCCAAGAAGGGGTTAGCACGTGCTCATTTGGGAATTGATATCCCTAAAACTGGTTATGACCAGAAACATAACTTTAACTTTAACCTAATCCCTAATCCTCCTCGTCATCCAATTGTATATCTCTGCCCAACCAACCTTCCTAACTTTGAAACTCTTGGACCTCCGGTTTTAAACGTCCCCCTCGAACTGGTTTTCGAGCACTCCTCGGGTTCAGTGGCGAAAAAGTTGGAATTTCGACCGTCAGATCGATTCGAATCTCAACGGCCCTGAGAATTTCTCCCAAAAAGGTTGGAATTTGGAGCGTCGGATCGAATTTCTTCTCAACGGCCGAGATCGGACGCGAATTTCGATTAAGAGAGAAATACGCTACCTACAGAAACAGCGCTCGGCATTTCTACAGTCGATTCGATTCGCAGTAAGTCGACCAGCGCATAGAACTCAAATATTTTCGTCGCAAATCTTCCTATAAATCGCCAAATGGAGGAAAATGGTGATAATTCCGTACGAAAAATTACGGAGTTACGCACTGACCTGAACCAGACGAGAGTGGCACTCCAGCGAATAGAAGAGCGTCTCGCGAACCAGTCGGCAGCCGCCACGGCAGAAGCGAATGCAGCAGCGACGGCAGCAGTAACAGCGGCGACACCGACATTTTACCCAGCAGCAGCGGCAGCAGCTACAGTGAATCTTGAGGCGGCACGTCCGAGGCTACCGGAGACGTTCAATCCGAATGCGAAAGACGCCGACGTCCGTCGATTCATTGCGACCCTCGAAATTTACTTCAAGGCCGTTGGCTATACGACCCCGACATACGATGCAATGCGGATTCGGCTCGCAATGACACTGTTGCGAGGCCCGACGCTCGAGTAGATTTACAACAGTGATGAGATCCGAGGCGAGGGGTCATAGACGCAGTTTCGGGAAGCTTTAATTCAACGTTTCGAACCAATCAACTACAGCTACATGGCGCGGCAGCAGATTCATCGGCATAAACAGTTCGGCAGTGTAACACAGAACACGCAGCAGATAGAGAGCCTCTTCAACCAAATTATCGACCTGACCGAAGGGGAAAAAATCCAAGCGTATACTAAGGGGCTAAAAATGGAAGTCCGCCGACAGGTGATTACCGTGAACTACAACAACTACCGCGACATGGTGTGTGCAGCTGAGAGATTCGATGCGTTGATCCGAGATCAACCCGAAACACGACGACCATTCGGCACGGAGCGATCGGCACCACTCACGACCGCCGACCCGATGGATATCGACAAGGTCGACGCGACGCAGCGGCCGACAAAATATGAGAAGTGCGAATTTTGCGGCGCAGCAGGAAATCGACTCTTGGCGTGTTGGAAAATGAAGTAGGCACGAGCGGAGCTGAAGGGCAACAATAGTGCAGCACCCCCGAAGTCAAAAGACATGGCGACTTCAGAGTCGTCCGAAAATATGAGGACATGATGGCGTAAATTTAAAACGCTACGACCGGCCGGCAACAGGGGAAACCGCCGAGACAAATGAAGGCTCCGCGAAACAGGACTCTGCACCGACCGGGAAACTCCAGCCGAACACCCCCGAGAGTAAGAATCTTTCCTCTCGAGGTTTTCAAGCCTTTGAAAAAATTAGGGGAGATGTCAAGGCCAAGAAAAAGCCTTTAGACATTATTCAGGTACCTGAGAAGTTGGGCAAACCACTCCGGAGCGTTGAAAAGGGTCGTGCGTTCCAAGGAGTTAACTTTCTCTCGCCGCAGCACAGTGTTAAAGCTCCCCATTGCCCACAGGTGAAGCCTACACAGCTGCAAAGGCTTAGGGGAAGGTTCCAGGCCATGACGAAGCTGAATCGGCCTCGGATAAATCCTTCTAACCCTACTCAGTTGAAAACTGATATGGAGTCAGCAGCTTCGAGCGCAGGACCGAGGGATAATCTATTCGACGTACCCTACGATCCTATAAGCGAGACCATCTACGGTTACTCGGAGCAGCAACAACCACTACTACTCGAGGTGATCTGCAACGGGCGACGCCTCCAGGCACTAGTGGACAGTGGTGCGTCCCACTCGGTGTGAGACCGCGGGACGTTGGAGAAAATTGGAGAACCTTCGGAGGAGACCAAGTTCACGGCAACGATGGTGGACGGTACGAAACTTCCCATCCACGGCGAAGCATCACTGCAGCTGCACATAGGGGCGCTGAGTTGGAAGCCGACGTTGCCGATCACGAACATCAAGGGTTTAGATTTCATCTTGGGGAGAGATTTCTTGAAGCGGTTCAACCCCGAGATCGACTGGGTCAACCGGAAGGCGTGCATCTACAACAACGGGAAACGTGTGGAGCTACGAAGCTAGACTGATACAGGGAATGTTCCTGAAACGACACTGGCACGGTTCAAACGGACGGTGAACGAGAGCAACACGGGTTACTTGGCACTGGTATGGCAGCAGCAGAGGAGGAGAAGCCGAACACAGAGCTACCTGCAGCAGTTAAGGAGGTGTTTGAGCAGTACAAGGATATTATGCCCGACGACCTACCCGCATACGTACCTCCAGCACGCACCCACGAGCACGAGATCGTGGAGGAACCATGTGCGAAACCCGTCTCACATGCACCGTACCGACTGAGTCCGACCGAACTGACAGACATGAAGAAGCATATAGAGAAATGATAAATGATCCGCCCATCTACCTCTCCCTACGGTACACCAGTTCTCTTCACTCCAAAACCAGACGGTAGTTTACGGATGTGCATCGACTACCGCGCACTGAACAAACAGACAGTAAAAAACAAATACCCCATACCGCGCATAGTCGATCTTCTAGACCAACTGCGTGGTGCAACAATCTTTTCGAAGCTGGACCTACGGTCGGGTTACTGGCGGATCAAGATGGCGGACAACTCGATCCACAAGACGGCGTTCCGTACCAGATACGGCTCCTACGAATACTTGGTGATTCTCCAGCAATGTTCCAGGCGGAGATGAATCACATCTTATGGCCCCTATTGGACGAATGCGTGGTGGTGTACCTGGACGACATTCTCATCTACTCCAAGAACATGAAAGAGCACGTGGAACATCCGCGGAAGGTGTTCGAGATCCTGCGGAAAAACAAGTTCTACGTGAAGCTGTCAAAAAGCGACTTCACACTGAAGAAGGTGCAGTTTCTCGGGCACATGGTGAGTGCCGAGGGCGTACATGTGGACCCGCGGAAGATCGAAGCCGTCAAGAAGTGGAAAGTACCGGAGAACGTGAAGGAGTTGCAGCAGTAGGCTTCGCCAACTACTACAATAGGTTCGTGCTGCAGTACGCTAAGATAGCAACGCCACTGACCGACCTAATGAAAAAGGATACACCCTACAAATGGGATACTCTTCATCAGCAAGCCATGGAGCAGCTACAGACGGCACTGACTACAGCGCCAGTACTCATCCTAGCGGACCCAGACAAGGACTACTTAGTGGAAGCAGACGCTAGTGACCAAGCAGTCGGAGCAGTACTGATGCAGGATCACGGATGCGGTTTGCAGCCTATCGCCTACCTCAGTAAAAAGCTACACGGAGGAGAACTGAACTACCCCAAGAAGGGGTTAGCACGTGCTCATTTAGGAATTGATATCCCTAAAACTGGTTATGACCAGAAACATAACTTTAACTTTAACCTAATCCCTAATCCTCCTCGTCATCCAATTGTATATCTCTGCCCAACCAACCTTCCTAACTTTGAAACTCTTGGACCTCCGGTTTTAAACGTCCCCCTCGAACTGGTTTTCGAGCACTCCTCGGGTTCAGTGGCGAAAAAGTTGGAATTTCGACCGTCAGATCGATTCGAATCTCAACGGCCCTGAGAATTTCTCCCAAAAAGGTTGGAATTTGGAGCGTCGGATCGAATTTCTTCTCAACGGCCGAGATCGGACGCGAATTTCGATTAAGAGAGAAATACGCTACCTACAGAAACAGCGCTCGGCATTTCTACAGTCGATTCGATTCGCAGTAAGTCGACCAGCGCATAGAACTCAAATATTTTCGTCGCAAATCTTCCTATAAATCGCCAAATGGAGGAAAATGGTGATAATTCCGTACGAAAAATTACGGAGTTACGCACTGACCTGAACCAGACGAGAGTGGCACTCCAGCGAATAGAAGAGCGTCTCGCGAACCAGTCGGCAGCCGCCACGGCAGAAGCGAATGCAGCAGCGACGGCAGCAGTAACAGCGGCGACACCGACATTTTACCCAGCAGCAGCGGCAGCAGCTACAGTGAATCTTGAGGCGGCACGTCCGAGGCTACCGGAGACGTTCAATCCGAATGCGAAAGACGCCGACGTCCGTCGATTCATTGCGACCCTCGAAATTTACTTCAAGGCCGTTGGCTATACGACCCCGACATACGATGCAATGCGGATTCGGCTCGCAATGACACTGTTGCGAGGCCCGACGCTCGAGTAGATTTACAACAGTGATGAGATCCGAGGCGAGGGGTCATAGACGCAGTTTCGGGAAGCTTTAATTCAACGTTTCGAACCAATCAACTACAGCTACATGG